ATCATTTTTTGACATGCCTCTGCGTTTGACGTGTTTCGTAATTGGCTCAAAAAGGTATCAGCATTGGCCGCAACGAATATGAATATGAATAATCCAATTTGCCACGCGATCTTATTAACTGCAAATTGGAGCAATAAATTTCGGTCGGAGCTTATTGTTCCAATTTTCCGTTCCGACGGTCGCTGCACACACCAAGGCCAATATTTACCGAACGTATCCGTTTGATTCGGCTTTATCGAAGTGTAATGAAATCATTCCTGCATATCCAGGGCCCAATATTGGTTTTGCATGTCAGCGCTTAAAAAACTGAAACAGAGAGAGCGCTCGGGGGGCACACAGATGAAAAATTTCATTATTACAATTCAATAATCCCTGGCTTTAATAAAAGTAGCGCAGCAGGGAGTTCTCTCTTGCCATCCTTTGATATGAAACCGAATTATTTCCAAGTGGTTTTGCCGACGTATGAACACATATATTGAGAGAGAGACGAAAGCGCACCCGCTGGAACAAAAACCGCCGGGAGAAATGTAATTGCATTTCTTAGATAAGCAGAAAGCAATAATAATTTCATTATTGTTCGTTTTCTCGGCGAGGATCGCAGTCTAGTGATATTCATAAATCCGCAAGACTTGCCGAGGGAAAATGGAAATGGAAAAGTGAGTGCTTTTTCAAAGAATTCTCTCGGCGGAAAACTTTTTGTGTATAGGGGAGGAAATTGTAATTATTGCAAATACAAAATTATAAATAAGAGCAAAAGAATATATCGAGCGGCGGCGAAACTTTTTTAATTATATTTGTCGTCAAAGGAGGAAAAGCAGGCTTCTCTTCGAATATATATAAAACTGATTTCTCCTTCGAGTTTGTGCTCATTTATTCCCTCGCTCTCTCTCTCTCACTCACATAATGCCGCCCCTCAGGGAAGATATAGGAAAGAAAAAGCGGCGCTCTCCGCCGCTTCGAATGATTGCGTTTTGATAAAAAGATTGCTCGCAGCGGTGTCAGAATTGGAAATAAGAAAAGTTTGTGTAGGAAATTAAAATAGTTTACGGCCTCTGACTCGAAATACCGACCGGCCACTCCGCTTGAGCCATTCAGAACCACTCGACGGTGAACATTTGCGCAGTCCAAAGCTACTGCTTTTGTAAGCAAGAGGTATAAGGTACAAATTCTGGCAGAAGATATTATTTTAGGAGAATGTCTGCTTCGCTGTAGTGTTTTTAATAATAATTAATAATTAGTTTGCGTGTTTTATAAAATGCCAACATTTACAGCTTTTTTTAATTAATTAATTAATCCTGATTAAAATTTTATTGTATATTTTTCTATTTAAAAGTTAAAACGCACAAATATTTATTGAATACGCTTGCAACTGATATTAAAATTATTAATGATAAAAAATTAGCCGAACGTAAAATAATTATGAATGTGAACTGATATGAACTAATGTTTTTCAAATTGAAATTGAGAGATCATTAAAAACTCACTCTCTCAAAGCCACGATAATTATAATTATTCTTATATATTTATTTTACGTACTGAATATCATGTTACATAATTATAATTTTTTTTACGAAATAGCAAAAATCAATTGTAATAAAAATGATATATCGTCAGCAAGGCGAGACCACCAAAATAAAGAATTTCTATAGAATTAAATGACAAAACATGCAAAATACAAGCTATTGAAGAGGAGTCATTTGCAAAGGGCACTGAATGACAAGCCTTTTTCTTCGCCTGCCCTTAAAAAAACATAATTTGCAACTAAAAAAATTAATGCTTCACAAAATTGCGGTCCAACACTTGAAAGCACTCGCATTATAATTCCTACAAGGAGTTTCAGAAGCTTTTAAATTTTTCCTTTGTGTCACCCTGGGCAGGGGAAAATAAATTTGCTTAATATTTGATTTGATGTGCTGCTTGAAATTAACATAACTCGACTCTCGGGCGCAGTGAAATGTAATACAACGACGGCGGCGGTGTTTGCGTCTGCAGCCAACACGGCTGGTAGCTCGCGAGGGACCTATTTTTCGCTATTATTATTGTGGCGTGGCGAGAGAGAGAGGACAAAATGAATGCAAAGTTTCCCAGACGGCAACGACCGTGTTCTTGGAACGCACATAACAAATGCCTGCAGCGTTCTAGAGCAGCACCAAGTTTGGTTTGCTTTGTCACTAGAAAAGAAGAAAAGTCGACAGAAATTTAAAAAGTTTGCCCGACAATTGAAAAGCGGGTTAGTTGTTTTACTAAGAGACGTAAAAATATTTTGTATAAAAATATTACATAATGGGAAAGGTACAAAAAAAAGTAATTCAATATTAATAAATATTTTTTTGCAATTATTTTTTCATATTTTATAGAATAAAGGGTGAAAACAGTTTTGAATAAATAGAAAAACAAGGATTTGATGTTTCACCTCTTCAAATTGATTTATGAAAATGCCATCATTTCATAAGTAAAGTTTGCAAATTTGGCATGAATTATTATTTTTGCTGTTGTTTATTTCTCTACAGTGTTAAAAGTACTGAAAAATGCATTGCTTACATTCAAGTGCTAAAAACAATTTACTTAAAAAAAGACAATGTTAATAGACCCCACCTCTAGCAATAATTTTGCTAAAACTTCTAATATTAAAAAACATCCCATCTGCCGCAGTGAGCATCGGTTGACTAGTTTTAAAAAGATGTAAAAGTTAGTTTTTTAATTCACGTGTACACATAATATAGATTCAAATATTAATGTCTGTATCTCCTGTGAATGTTTCCGTATTCTTTCCGTTCGACTTCCTTTTAACGTCGTTTGTCACTGTGGTGCAGCAGGAAGCGAGCGGATGCATTTTGGCCGGCGTTATCGAGCGCATAATGCTAATTAGGCCGCGTTTGAGAGATTGCGGCTGGCAGCGGTGGCTGGCTGCGAAAAAGTGGCTCTGGAGCCAGTCCAACGGATCGATGGTGCGATTCCTGCCGACCGCCACTGAAATTAGCTTCGTTCTCGCCGCTTCTCGCTCGCAGCGTCAATTTTCCAATACCCACACTGCCAGTTTAACAATTGAAATAGCTGCCGCTGCATTGACAATGTCTCGAGTCAAGAGTAGAATTCTCGCTCCGCTCCAGAGACGTGACTTTTCCGCCGCGAGGCCGAATTGCATTCTTGCAGTCTTGACAGCAGCCGAGTGAAAAAAAAAGAAATACGTAAAAGGAAAGAGCAACTAAGAGAGAGTGGGAACCAACGGGCGCATCTCCGAGACGCAAAAGGGCCTGTTGGAAAACGTGTCCAATTGGCCTGTGGCTGCGTTTTTGTACAGTCAGCTTGCTCAAACCAAGAAGAAAATGACACCTTTTCCCCCTCTCCATTGATAGAATTTAGACTTGGATTTAAATTTAACAGGAATTCAATGATTTAAAAAGTATGTATTTAAAATTTTTAAACAGCAAACTTAATGTAACTCGAAATAAGAAACGAAAAAAACTACCTTACTACTATCAAAATTTTGTTGCATCAGAAAAACTAATAATTTCAACATAAAGAAATTATTTACCAGGTATTTATAATGTTCTTAAGAAGAATTAAAATTTGTAACATTTAAATATAGTAAGTATTTTTAATAAATGTAAAATAAAGTACTATATTATTATTATATTATATATTTTAACGTTTTTATATTTAATTTTAAAACATTTTTATCAAGTTTTCATGGTTTTTAATGTTTATTTCAACTTTATTTGCAATAAAATAAAATTATATTTTATATATTATTTTTTTCCATATAGTTTATATGTTGTTGACATATTTGCAACGAAAGTTTAATAATTCTCCTCACTCCTGTGATGGCTGATATTGCAAAATGTAGTAATTAAACTGATTTTGAATAAATATATAAGTAGGTCACACACTTACCTAAAATTAAAATTACTTGCTAAATTTTTAACAATTTTGCAAACCTCTTACAATCTTATATAATATCATCACCGCCCAGAGCTGCACGAAGCAATTTAATTTCTAAGAGTTTGATTCTACGAGTTGGTTGGATGTGGTGGCAGTGACAAATTCATACTCCATTGAAATTTCACCAACGGAGCTTTTGACTTTCAATAAGTTTGCGCGAAAACAAGCGGCGGCGAAACAAGTCGTGGGAGTATTGACGCGCCGGCTGGAGCGCGGATAACAACTTGAGAGAAGGATTTGCGAATTTCCGCGAACACGTCTTCTTCTCCGTCTTTGTCGTCGAGTGCAATGAATATTAGTTTCATTACTGTCGTCGGCACAGCCGTTTGTGCTCAAGAACGCCCGCTTTGAAAACGCGCGGAATGCAAAGAGAGAGAGCAGAGGATATTGCTTTCCACAGTGCTGAGAGGCTGTCTCTTGCTGCAAATCCTGGCAACTTTTTTTTCGCAGCAAAAACGACAAACAGGACGCTTCAGCAAACAACCCGCATGCGGTGTTGCAATTTTCTCTTCATTTGAGGTGCCAGACAAATGCAAATAGAATTGAACTTTCGTAATTACGAGTTGGATCGAAAGAACTTTCGAACTTTGGTCTCTCTGCAAAAAATAAAAGCTCCGACGAAAATGAGTGGGGATTTATTTACCATTATACAGCAAGGCGGTATAATCTTGTCAGCGGCAAGGCGGGATGATGGGATTTCCTCGCACCTCATCCGCTCTTTTTCTCCTTTTTTATACAAAGTGCCGCGTCGAGCGAGAAGTTGCCGCGACTTCATTCGCGACTTCATAATCTTGTAAACTTTGCAAAGTTTTTTTTTTCCTCAAACTCGACGCGCTCCTTTTTCTTCTTCTCTCTCGACACCAGCGCGACCGCGTTATTTTCCGTGTTTACAGATTTGCAAGAGCAGGGGAAATTTATTACACGCTCCGTGGGAAATTCGCCTCTAATTTAAATTTTCTCTCCCGGGGACCCACGACAAGAATTCCGCCTCGTAAACTTTGCACCGGGAATGTACATAAAATTAATATATAATTTGAAACTGTTTTATATCGTTGCAGAATACCTGATGTCAGGTAGTCCACGCACCTACCCGGCCAAGTCGCCCAAATCACCGATGGGCCCTGGTGGGATGATGGGCGGCAAGGACTTCATGCAGCCGGACGGACTGAGTAGCAGCAAAACTAACACCCTCAGCAGCCAGCACCGGTGAGTACACATTTGAATTCATTCATTTTATTTATTTATATAAAAATTATATTATAAATTTAACTTTTTTAATTAAAACAAAAAAATAATTATTGTATAATGCATTGTTAAATCCATTTTGACAAATATTTGGTAACTATTTAAATTATTGAGCATAACTAGCACTTAAAGGAAGAGTTGAATATTCTAATTTGCATATTATATCAACTAGATATTGCTTAGCTATATCCTCAAAGTATAAAATATATAAAAAAATCCAAATCAACTCTAAAGAGGAAAATTGCCAGACCCAAAAGAGTTTAAATATATTCTTTATAGCTGGCCTATTTTTTTATCCAACTTTTTGCGTATTTTCCATTCATTTTAAATAAAATTTCTTTTGTATCAAGATTGCGTATTTTACGAGCAAATTCCTTATTCATGAGCGCCAAAAAGCACGCCCTAAATCTCCAAGAGCTTTTTTTGTGTTACCATTTCGAGCCAGCAGGCTGTCAGATAGTAAAAAATGGACTGCCAAGATGACCATATTATTGTGACACTCCACATATTTACGACCCCTTTTTTCTTGCGAAATCACATTTTTAACTTCCACCACCTTCGCATTTTTGCTCTAATTAATTGGACAAGTGCCTATTGGGCCTTTTTGCTAAAATGCAAAATCCATTTTAGGAACACACATTTTTTTCCGTCGAGAGCAGTAATTCTCGAAGTCACTCATGCAATATGATAATAAAAAATTTAGTACCAGTGGCGGCCGAGCAGCTCTCGCCAATTTCCAGCGCGATGCTATCTGTTCGTCATTTCGCCGCTGCGTATATAAATGACGAGAGCTTCTCTTCCTCTTTCTCTTCGCCACCGGGATTATGTACCGACTGCACGCGGTGGTATTTATTGCGATTCGGTGCAAGATAATGGGCACGGCTCTTTAAAATTATATCGCACTCTGGCTTTTAAGCCGGCTGCACGTTTAATGCCTGATGCAATGATAAATTAAATTGGTATGTGTGTGGCCGGCGCTAAACGAGATTTATTGCAAAAAGACGGCGTTAAGCGAGACCGGGACGTATGTGTGGAAGCGTGTTTTGTTCCGGCGAGTGAGAGGGAGAGAGAGGAACGCACCCGACGCAAATGAAGTCATTACAAGAGCCTCGTTTTACGCCTCGTGTGAGACGTGTAATTAGCATAATTACAGGGTGCTTAACTTGAGCAGCAACTTCTTTTTCAAAATCCTTAACAACTTGCTCGACGAGGAGATTTACGAATTCCCAGTATTTTACGAACCTTTAGAATAACAATTAATTTTTTGAAAAATCAAATGTAGTAAAGAATGGTATTTTACTAAATATATATCCTTATTTAATATTAAATAACATAATAAATAATAATTTGAATTTAAAAACTTTATTTTTTTATTGTGATATAATTAATTTATATTTGAGATTTTATTATTTTACAGTAAAAACTTCAACCAAACTAGTTTTTTAGATCATTGATGATAAAAATTGATTCAGAGGAGTAGGTGTACCTTTATATGCATTAAATTCCAAAAATTGAATATCAAATTTGAAAGCTGATTATGCTACTGAAAGGATTTATTTGACCATTTTAACCATTTTAATTTCACTCCCCTTTTCAGCTTTTTCAGGATTTGACCCACGTCCGATTCATTTCGCGGCCGCTTGCGAATGGAAATTTCATTTGATGATGGTTTTTACACAAACGCTGCGTGTTCGTAATAAAATATGCGGACACGCGCAATAATGATTCGGGTGAAAGCTGCGTGGTGACAGTTTTGAAATCAGCGCTGTCAGCCCGACTTGCAGAGCCGAGCGCGAAATGTATAGGGCCGCCCGGTGCGTCCGTCCGCCCTCCTGGCGGCCTGTCGTTTTAATTTGGCGATTAATAAATCTCCCCGGTGGCCCGAACAGGTAATTTATACGGACGCGCGCGCGAGTTAAAAATGTCAGGCGGCAAATCGCGGTATTGATTGATGGTCCACGCGTACGTCAGTGGCTGAAAATGCACTTTCGCTGTTGCGAGTTGACAGTGGATTTGAATTTTTTTTCTGGTAAAATCGATTTGAAAATCTAAAACAATAAAAATGCAAAAATTCTTGTTCGTCAAATAATGAAAAACTTCATGTATTCAGATTTTTTTTATACATTACAAGTATTTTCAATTTTCATTTTTGATTTCAAATATTTGATGTAACAACAAAATTCTATAATCATGATCAAGTTTGCTTCTCATTTGAGTAGAATACACAATGGGCGAGCAAATTTATTCAGCTTCAAATTAGTGGAATTGGTTTATTTTGCATGCAAAAATTACATGCGTCATACAGTCATAATTTCTGCGATTCGCCGAGCATGAAATAATTCTCCGTCGAAAACAATTTGAATAGCACTGTACCGGGGGACGAACTCGGACAAAATTTCAACCCACGGTAGGGGAGTTTTTGCTGTGCAAATTGAGAGGATTCGGAATTGAAAGGGCGACGTAGGGATGATCTTGCGTGGCGCCGGCATCGGTCCGTCGAGAATTTTCAATGAAGAGGGCAAATAATTCCAGGGGGAGAGCGAACCACTACTCTCTGCATCCTGCACGTTTTTTGTGCTTCTCTGCAATTTTCCGAGCGACCGAAAACGGGCAGCAGCATAATAATTATTATCATCCAGAGGTAGTAAATCTCTTTTCGGTTTGACTTTACGGTTAGACTGGGAGCAATTAGTTGCCAGTGGTAATTTCACGCACATGCATCTCGGCCGAAAGATGCGTCGCAAATCCGACTCCCATTCGCTGGCAAGATAATCTGCATATGCGTGTGTGCGGCACATCCGATTCTCTCTCACTCTCGACGCCACTCTGCATCCCATTTCCTGCTGCGAGCTCGGCACCCAGCCGAGAATATTGAGAGTTTGCGATAAATAAAAGCAGCCCACACGCATAGAATGCCCGGGAAAATGTGCTGATATGACGTCTCTGGTATTGTGGAAGTGTGCTTTGAAGGATCTGACGCAAATGCCAAAAGCTGAGTGTCAAGTAGAGGATGAAAGTTGTTTTGGCCATGAGCAGAGCGATCACTCGGCAATACGCACGCGAGGATTTTTTACCAGATTGTCTGAGGATTTCTATTCAATCCTTATTTTATGAAAACAAAAATATAAACTAAACAAATTTTTGTAAAGATGGAAATAATCATTTACATCGTTTCTAAATAATAAATAAATTTGTAAATAAATAAATTACAAATTTCTTAAAACTACAAAATTTAATTAACCTGTAATATTAATTTTTGCTCAGAATCATGTGAAAAAGAAAAAGAAGATAGTTATTTTGCTGTTTACAGTGTCAAAAATAATTCACTGTACAAAACATGAAGTATGGTTCTACATAATTTGAATATTAATTATAGTTAAAAATAAATTGCATGATTCTTTTTAAGTAATGGGACAATCATAAGTCTGTGGTTCCTCGGCCCTAATTTATCCATTTCTTTAAACTTCGCTACTATTTCGGCATTTCAACCACTTAAAACTTTTAACAAAAATTCCAGGTAGTTTTAATCTCGGCCCTTGACGTTTAATATTTTTTAACTTCTCGCATTTTCGCTATTTTAAGCACTCACAGGCATGAGAACGTTGTTAATTATTTATATCTGACATGCTCTAATGGGCTATAAACAACAGCCTTGGTCAAAATACAAACAGAAATCAGTGCTTTTGTAATGTTTGGTGGGCATGCAAGCAAAAATGCCGCGACCGCGCCACGTGCACTTTCCGCACCCTGCAAAGCTCTGCGACAATGCGAGAGATTTTAAAAGCCGACGGTGCGTGCCTGCATGATTATCGTGCATTATCATTATTTGCATCGCCCTTCTCGCACACGACGACGACGACGCACACTCATCCTCGGCGCAGCAAAGTGCTTTGATAATTACATCACCCGCCGCTGCCGCCGCCGCCGACCGACTGGGAGGGAAGCGAAAGGGAGGGCGTGCGAAAGAGAAGCGTTTCATTAACAACAACAACGGGTGAAAAATGCGATTGATATTGTTCTGCAGGAAGAGGACGCACATGAGCGACAATTTTTCATCGCACTGCTCAAGTAAGCGTGCACAATGATGGGGCTAAGTGCGCCTGCATTATGAACGGGTATGCAACCGGGGATGCACGCCGGACGCGCAGGTTGCCGTCGGGGAGAGACAAGATTGATAAGAACAGCTTTGTCCGTTTTAAAATTCCATTCGTGTTTAATTTTGCGGAACGCGCAAGACCGTGCGGGGAGAGCTGCACAATTAATCATTAAAGAGTCGAGATGAATTTGAATTGCAAGGAGAGGAGGGTCACACAAAGGACGATGGTCTAGTTCGGAAATCAGTCAGCGTAATGTATGACTCACAATTAGTTCAATTTTGACAGTTTCGAAATTGCTGTAAAATATAACTTCAAATATTTTTAATTTATTTTTCTGAAAATAAAATTTTCCATTTAATTGATGACGGCCAGGAAGATGGCAAAACCTAGGTGAAGATTGCACCGTTTTATTAAAACGCTATCTGCAGATTTTCCAACTTTAAAAGTACAAAAGTGCGCTATCTGTGACTCTTTAAGAGCGACTTGTTCTCCCTGGCAATAATAGTAAGATCTTACAGCTCGGCAGGGTAACTAGAGACAAGCCTGAGAGGCACGGAAGACCGGTCGGTCTGAGCGCCGGCAATATCCCGTAACAAATTGTGACATTTTACGCAAGTGGGAGATGCAATCACCCGAGATTTATTCTCTCCGAGAGCGAATTTCCCTCGGCTGCACTGGAAAATTGAAAATCCAGGGATGTCTTTCGAAATTCCCTCCGCCTTATTTTAAACAGGAATTTTTGAGACCAGCCTAATTAGTTTAAGCTTGCTTAGCACACACAAAGGAACACTAATTAGATTGCGAAATTTCCAAATCACAATTGACGTAATCCGTACTGTGTGCATATTTGCGCCGGGTGTAATT